TCATTTTCTTTGCACTTTTTTCCCTTTTTGGGCATTCTGGTGCATAGTGACCTTCTTCGTTACAAATGTAACATTTACAAGTTTTCTTTTTTGAAACACTTGTTGGTTTCTTTTTTCAAATATAAGTATTGTTTTTTTTCCAAGGTTTCCATTTATATTTTTTGCTTTTTTTGGAAAATCCTTTTCGTTTAGGAATTGTATTACAACCAATTTTCCAATTTTCTTTTAAAATTTTATCACAACATTTTTTATCGTATTGTGAATTAGAAATTTGATTTTTTATTTGTTTTTTTATTTGTTTTTTTGCCTTTGCTTCTAGACACCGATATGCTATCAGTCTTAGAACATGATTAATGCGAAAACTAAGATTATCATATTCTTCATTTCTCATTTTTTTGAGAAAATCAAGATATGTTTTAATACATAACTCAACCCATGGATTACAGAGTTTATGAAAAAATTGATCTAGTTAGGGTTGATTTGTTGGTGGATCAATAAGATAATAATATTTTTTAAAAGTTTGAACATAGTCTTCAAAAAGACAAATAGTACATAGTTCTAATTTTGTCAAAATTAATTTGTATCTGCTTGCAAATTAGTATCTTCTGCAAAATCACATAAATTTTCTTTTATGATTTTTGCAAACTCAGCTAAAATTGTGTCAAGTGTGAGAAAATTTGTCAACAAAGCCATTTTTTGACTTTTTCTAATTTCATATTTTTCCCACTATTGTAACCATTGCAACACATCTCCCTGGAGAGTTGCTGCAATATAATCAATAAATTTTTCCTTTGACCAACTATTTTTATAATTGGTAATAATAATGGACAAGGATTGTGCCCAATCATCAATTGCTTATTCCTGATCCATAAATGGAATATGAGACAAGTATAAATAAGCACCATTTTGAGCTATTGGATACTTATGATTATTATCTTTTCTAGATGATGATATTGCTAATCAAAGGCCCACGCTTCCAACGTCGTTCCTTGATCACTGAGTCCACCGGGGTACCTGCACAAAAGTCTAGTGGGGAACGAGAGTCCCCCAGCGGACCCTCTGACGATTAAGTTAGAGGAGAGATTGATGTTGTGTCCAGAGAGAGAGAGAGAGAATAGAGAATTTAACCTTTTGTGTCTTTGAAAACCTCCTTATATCCGTCGTTCATCATTTCTTTGTCCACTCCGACCTGTCATGTTGGTCGAAAGTCTATGCTCTAGCTTGCCTTGTTCATGGTGAGGCTGTCCGTTTCGACGTGAAGGGATTACCGTATTTAATGCCGCCGGAGCCTCATTGATGGCTGATGTGTGGTGCAATAACTTTATAGGATTTTTGTCTGCTTATGTGGCTGGTTCTCATTTTTACAAGTGTTTAGATGACATTGGTTCTTGATGCAACGTTGGGTTTCAGTAGTGTTGGATTTTAGTACTTAAACCGTGAATTGGGCTCTAAGTGGTGGGCCAAAAGCCTCTATGGGCCCACCAATGTTACTAGATATTACTGGCTCAGGTGTAGGTTTAGAGTTACTTTCAGTGTTAGTATCATTTTTAGCATAAAGCACACCATGCATGCTTATATATATAAAAAATTTAGACGTAGAGAGAAATACTTACATTATAAAAAATTAAGGTTTTAGAGACCAAAATTTAGGGACAAAATTATTTTTAGGAACCAAATATTTTTGTTGCAAAAAGTGTCGTTATTATATTTTAAGCAATAAAAATAAGACATTAGTGATCAATTATTATCCTTTTGGAACCAAATTTTGTCTCAAAAAAATAAACCATTTTGAGATTAAATTAATTTGTCCCTAAAAGTCTATTTATTAGTGACATTTTTAAAATTTTGTCGCTAAAAGCCTTGTTTTAGACTTTTCGGGACGACCTTTTAGCGACTATCCTCATAACGATATAAATTGGTTCCCAAATGTCTTTTGCAACAAAATTTTTACTTTTAGAGACCTAAACATTTAGTCTCTAAAACTCTTATTTGTTGTAGTGTTACATAGCTTGATCTTACTTTCAAAAGTTCTTCACCAAGCTCTGATACTAATTACAAAACAAAAAAGGAAATGAACTTTCTACAATTTTTATTATGGAATTATGATGGAGTTATGAAGTTGAGAGAAGTTAGAGATGAAGTTGGAAACACAAAAATAGAGAGAATTTACATTGTTTTATTCATTGGCTTGAATAACAATTTATAGAATACATCTTATATATGCAAACAAAAGTCAAAAGTTATTATAACATTATTGCATGTTTACCTTACGTCCAAAACTTTACAACTTTTGACAAAGTCTATAAACCTAGGCATAGGCTTATACAACATTTCCAAATCACCGTCTACAATGCAAATGCTTGACCTCTCTCTCTTACTATATATATTTATAGATAATAACAAGTAATTAACAGTAACCATTGCTCAGTCACAATATTTGCTAAGAGAGCATTCCAATGCCACCGGCAATTGAAGAAGAACATGTTGATTATCTCTCATCCAACGGTCAGAAACTCTGCATCAAAACTTCATTTGGTCCGACTCAGAATGGCCCCAAATCAACTACAACCACTTCGACGACTGCGATGACATCCCTCTCATAGGTCTTCAGGTATGGGACCCACTTAATTTTTTTATAAAAATGTTTATGAATAATTATGTTTTTTTTTTTTCTTTTGGAGTACTAGGAACATGGTTGGAGTAAAAACATAAAACAGTTGATAGGCAAAATAAAATATATACTTTATAGTAATATTTAGAGCATCTCCAATGATAGTAGGCATTTTACCTATCTGAATATTACTATAAAGTATATATTTCATTTTGCCTATCAACTGTTTTATGTTTTTACTCCAACCATGCTCTTTATTTTAGCTATTTATCCAAATACTATTAATTTTATAGAATGCCACGTCAACAACAAAGATGGAGGGAAATGATCCTAATGAATGAATACATTTTGCCTAGCGTTGAAGGCTAGCTACATGTAGCTAGTGAATATGAGTTGATGCAAAATGCCTAATCATATGCCTAGTGCATTGGAATTGAAAAAAGTGAATTACACTAGGCATTTTAACTAACAAGTATTATATGCCTAGTGCATTGGAGATGCTCTTAGATAGGTAAAATGCCTACTACCGTTGGAGATGCTCTAAGAGGAAGGAAAAAGTGATGACTAATAGCAACACCTACTTATATTACGCGTTAAAAAATTGCACACGACACCTGCTCCTTAATAAGAATTTTAGTGGCCGAGATTGTCGCATCTCATAAGAAAATTACGGTACAAATTAATAAATATTAGCAGAAATTTCATTTCAATATAAATTTTTTTTAAAAAATTATAAAATTTATACACATTAATAATTAAAATTATAAATATTTTCATAATTTTGTAATAATTTTTTGGTACTTCCACATATAAGTAATTTCTCCTCAATATTATAGGGAGAACTATATGTAGGTGGGAGAAAAAGAAAAAAATTATAAATATATGGGGATGTAAGTATGTTTGTGGTCGGTATAAATAAAAGGTTGTGAGATGTTTTGATAATTTTTTTTCTATTCCCCAACTTGCATATAATTCCCCATTATTATAAATTTTATTTTTACTTCAAATGTGACAACTCATTTGACTTTTTAGGCGAAGGAAAATTATCACAATACACACCCCCAAAGAAACATATGATATGTAATTACAAATTCAGTTGCTTGGGTCATAATTAATACAATTAAAAGGATGATAAAACATTATGTTAAACAAATAATTAGGTCGAACTAAATATTAATTATTCATATTTATCACAATTTCCACACTAAAATTACACATTTAACCCCAACAACTTATGAGATTAAAAAAAAATTAACATAATAATAAAACAATCAGTTAATTTAACTATGTACTAGGGCGTGAATTACCCGATGAGTGTGCTTAAAATATAAATTTTAATTTTGAATTCATAACATATTTTTTTATGTTATTTAAGTAATAAAAGTGTTTTTTAGTAAGTTAAGTAAATGGTATTAGGTTCAAGTCTTGTGTCTTTCTTTTAATTATTATTTTTTTATTTTTTTGGAGAAATTGACCTCTGACACAAAAAGAAAAGGTCACTTGACACAAAAAGAAAAGGTCACTTGGCAAAATGAGAGAAGGAAGTTCATGAACACCAAATAAGATATTCACCTTTAATAATAGTATAAATAGATAGATGGTATAGATAAAATCATCATTTTCACATTAGAAAATGCTTATTTAATCCCTGAAGTAAAGTTTAATAGTATGAAAGTATTAAATTGTGTGGAATTATATTGATCAACGGAATTAAAATTAGGATTTAAAAGAGTCATCCCAGACAATTAGATTTAACTGTCACGCGAGCCTTGAAATTTTCAGTTTTTTTTTTTTTCTTCTGGAATTACGTATTCAGTGTAGTTCTTATTTGAAAAATCTCAGCAAGAAAAATTTGAAAATATAAATTTTATGAAAAACAGATGTTAAGAACTGAAGTTATAACATTTTAAAATTGAAATAAAAAAACATACAATGACCAAAAGGGTAAAACAGTAACTAAAAAATATTGAAAGAACTTGCATCCTATTGCTCCCAAAGTCCAAAAGCGCGTTATTAAAAAAAAAAAAAAAAAAAAAAGAGGTCTAAAAGCGCGTCTTCATTGATAAAGAACAATCACACCAATAAAGAAAAAGGTGGCCTATACAAAATAATGTGGTTAATTAATATTTCGAAATAAAAGCAATTCCTATCTTTGAAATCTTCAAAGTCTTTGCCATGGGATTGACTAATAAATACTGCTCCTATAAAATTTAGCCAAATTGACGATAAACACTACAAAACATACCAGAGTAATGCTAGGTATCATGAAAAAATTTTCATGAAAATGATCATGAAAGATTTATGATCCTTGGATTACACTTAAAATAAAACACCATACACTAATCAAGATAATCCAAGGATCATAAATTTTTCATGACCAGTTTCATGAAAATTTTTTCATGATCCCTATCTTTTCTCAACATATAAAATAAACCTCATGTTGTAACACACCTTGGTTGCAGTCAGAGCACCATCTTCAATGGCTTCTTCTCCTATCTCTAACCTCTTCCTCCTCCTCCTCTCTCTTTTGCCTTTTCTACCTATTTTTTCTGCTTCCAACGTAACTCTGGGCTCATCACTGTCCGCCAATGGTAACAACTCTCCATGGATTTCACCTTCTGTGGATTTTGCTTTCGGATTCTACCAACTCAACAACACAAACACCTTCTTGCTTGCAATATGGTATGCCAACATACCCGACAAAACCATCGTCTGGCACGCAAACACAACTAATCCAGTGCAAGCAGGCTCAAATGTTGAGCTTACCGCCAGTGGCCTCACACTAAATGATCCCAATGGCCAAACAATATGGACGTCACAACCTAACGGCACCGTATCATATGGTACGATGCTCGACACGGGTAACTTTGTGCTTTCAGATACTAAATCTAATTTTGTGTGGGAAAGTTTTAGTTATCCTACAGACACCATCTTGCCAACCCAAATTTTGCCACTAGGTGGCATATTGTATTCTAAGTTTTCTGAAACCAACTACTCAAAAGGAAGGTTTGAGCTCCATTTCACTAATGGAGGAAATCTTGAGCTCAATCCTGTCGCTTGGCCCAGCGAATTGCTTTATGCGCCTTATTACAGTAGTGGAACGGCTAATTCCAACTCTTCCGAATCTGGGTTTCAACTGGTTTTCAGTCAATCAGCAGATATTTACATTGTGAAAGGGAATGGAGGGGTTGTCCAACTCTCATCATGGCAGAACATCGTTCAAATCTCAAACAGCTACTATCGCGCAACGTTGGATTTTGATGGTGTTTTCAGGGAATATACTTACGCGAAGACTTCTGTCAGTGGCCAGAACTGGTCAATTGTTCGACGCATCCCTGACAATATATGTATGGAGCTGATGAACCCGGAAGTAGGTAGCGGTGCCTGTGGGTTCAATAGCTACTGCATAGCAAACGGTGGCACTCCTAGTTGTCGATGCCCACCCGAGTATTCATTCATGGATCCAAACAACAATTTTGGAGGCTGCAAACCAAATTTCCCTCAAGGTTGCGGAGTAGACGACGGAACGAAAAAACCAGAAGAAGTGTATGACTTGAAAAAGATTCAAGGCGTGAATTGGCCACATGGAGATTATGAGAGTTTGGGACCTTATAATCAAACTCAGTGTGAACAGGCTTGTTTGAACGATTGTTTGTGTGATGTTGCCATATTTAACGGTACAACATGTTGGAAAAAGAAACTACCGCTATTTGATGGGAGAATGGAATTTGGACTAGCTATTATCAAAGTAAGGAAAGACGGTGTTCTGCCTTCGGGAAGTTCTAGAATTCCAATTTCCAACTCAAAGAAAGGCAAGCAAATTCTCTTGTGGAGCTTCGGGTTTGTCAACGTTCTATTACTAGTCGTAATTTCCCTAATTTTGTTCTCAATTCGACGGAAAAGATCAAGAAAGGCCGAACATGATTCAAGTGTTCCCGAAACAAATTTGCATCTTTTCACTTTCGAAGAGCTCAAGGAAGCGACAGAAGGGTTCAAGGATGAATTAGGGAGGGGTTCTTTCGGAATTGTTTACAAAGGTGTATTGAAATTTGGTTCAAAGAAACGAGTTGCGGTCAAGAAGTTGGACAAGTCAACACAAGAAGGAGACAAGGAATTCAAAGCCGAAGTGAGTGCAATTGGGAAAACCCATCACAAGAATCTGGTCCAACTGTTCGGATATTGTCAAGAGGGGCCTCAAAGGCTTCTAGTGTACGAGTTCATGAGCAATGGAAGTCTAGCAAATTTCCTCTTCGGCCTTCCAAGACCTGATTGGTATCAAAGGACTCAGATGGCTCTAGGGATTGCAAGAGGACTAGTTTACTTGCATGAAGACTGTAATGCCCCGATCATCCACTGCGATATAAAGCCTGAAAACATACTAATTGACGAAAATTTCACCGCACGAATTTCTGACTTTGGATTGGCAAAATCATTATTGCTCAACCAAACTCGAACTCATACTGGGATAAGGGGAACTCGAGGATACGTGGCTCCAGAATGGTTCAAGAACGTACGTGTGACGGTTAAAGTGGATGTCTACAGTTTCGGTGTCATGTTGCTAGAGATTATTTGTTGTAGAAATAGAGTGTGGCAAAGGAGTTTGGGGAAGAAGAAAAGGCAATACTCACAGATTGGGCTTACGACTGCTATATGAATGGGAGACTTGACATTTTGGTGGAAAATGATCAGGCTGCCATCGAAGATAAGGTGACCCTGAGCCGGTGGATCTTGACAGCAATCTGGTGTATACAAGAGGATCCTTCAAAAAGGCCTACAATGAAGATGGTAACACAAATGTTAGAGGGATATGTTGATGTTCTTATTCCCACTAGCACTTCTTTCAGCTATTCATCGTCATGAAACATGAAGATAGGCCGATCTAGATAAGTCTCTTTTTTTTTTTCTTTTTTTTTTTTTTTGTTGGTTTAGTTGATAATATGTGAAAATAATGTTCCAAGAATAATTGTAAACAGACACAAAATATAGATGAATATACATATCTAAGAAAATCTTATCCATTTATATATACATTTCACTAGCGACAATCCGTGCTATGCACGGAAATGTATAATTTAAATAATTTATTATACTCATTTTTGTATTATAAAATAAAAAATTCTTATAAATTTAAAATATAATAGGGAGTTATAACTAACAAATATTTGAATATGATACATTCATTTTTTCCATAAATTTTTCATTTGAAACATTTATTATAAAATTATTTTAGTCTAAGTAGGTCATTTAGCAGCATGAACTATATTTCTATCGGATATTATTCTAGCTTTAAAAACGAATAATGTAAAAATGGGTACTATTACAAATAATATAAAAATGTAAAAATGAATACTACTACAAATAATGTAAAAATGTTTAATGGCCCCTTTAAAGATAACAACAAAAAAATGCCCCCCTACATATACATATAGGTATACAGAGAGAATAAAATTCATCAAAATCCTAAAATCCTACAGCTGCCTAACCAATTGTAGCATTGTTGATGGTTGAATATAACTCGAATTTTAAATGCAGAGTTGAACAAAACTTTATACCCAATATGCAAACACTAAAAAAACTCGATGGTATGTTAAATTATATTGCTGAAGTGTAAAGCATTTGAAAAATAAGATAGAAATGAATTTGAAGATAATTATTAGATTAGAGATTGAAATAAATTTTAAAAAGGGATCATAAGATAAATATAATAAAAATAGAGTTGGAGATAATGATAGGATTAGGGATAAAAATTAAAATTAAAATTAAAAAGGAAGAAATAAGAAATAAAGAAAAATAAAAATACTAGAGAAGATTAAGCAAAATAAAAAATCAATAAAAAGAGATAAGGTGTCTTAGATAATAAAAAGATTTTAAGAGTTAAAAATTTAAAATAAAAACAATAGCAAGAAAAAAAAATATTTCGTATTAGAGAAAAATAAGGATGAAAAATTAAAACATAACTTTGAGAGAGCAACATATAAGAAATAGAATCTTAACTCTGCTTAAGAATTGAGTATTGAGACTTTGAAAATTTTAGAGAACACACTATATTTGTTTATATATGTAGTATAAATATATACATAGGTAAAAAGATGAATATCAAATCTAATTTGAAAAGTAAAGATAAAAATAAAATAAACATCCTACAAAAAAAGAAGAGAGAGATGTGAGAATTGATAATCAAAATTTTAAAAAGATAAAATATTTATGAGAGATTACGTATGAGTAAAAGATAATTTAATTTTGCTTGTTATATCAAAATAAAGGCATATATATTTTCTTCAATAGTAGCAAAATAAATTTACTTTTTTAATAAAGTTGTAATAGAATAAAATATATTTAATTTTTAAATTGCATGCTTGATGATGATTTTTCAAAAACAATAAAATAAAATACATTGATAGATAATTTTAAAATTGATGGTAGTCAATTGTTATCATTATAGCCATAAAAAAGAATTTTGGATAATACCATGGATAGGCAATAAAAAAAATCAACACTTAGCATTAAATTTTGTAAAAAATTTTTAAAAAAAAGGAAAATTTAGAATAAAGAATTGGAATTCTTCCAATCATATAATTATATGTTTTAGTTAATTTTAAAATTGGGCAAATTACATATACCTCCCTCGAGGTTTGGCTAAATTACAAATACCCCCCTGAGGTTTGAGAAATTACAAATTCCCCCCTTAATGCTATATTTACATAACAAATTAGGGGGTAATTTGTTATGAAATATAAACCTCAGGGGGCAAATTGTTATGAAAATACAAATCTCAGGGGGCGGGATGTAATTTCCGAAACCTCAGGTGGGTATTTATAATTTAGCTAAACCTCGAGGAAGGTATTTGTAATTTGCCCATTTGAACCTTTTTTTAAACAAATATTGTAAAAAAAAATTCAAAATTTTAAATTAGATATGTTTAGATAGAATTTGAAGATTTAAAAATTTAAAAATTAAATATTGTTAGATGTACCTATCACTTTAAGCCAAATATATTTTTTATTTTTAAAAATTTAAAAATTGAGAAATTTTGTGTTTAAGGTTTTGAAGCTGTTTTGTATGTGTATATTTAAATGGGTGTATAATGGTTGCAAATGATTCGAAGAACTCTCATTTGAGAGAGCTTGAAGGAGCAAATGTGAGATTAACTCTATGCATAGCTAATCTTCTTGATGTCGAGAGTTTATCCAAAACCATTAACGGGTGTGATGGTGTGATAGATATGAGATAAAATAAAAATAAAAATTTAAATTGAATTCGAGATTTGATGAGTTTCAAATCTAATTAAATTGAAGAACAAATGCAAATCAGAAATAAAAAAAAAAAAAAAAAGCAATCTCAAATCATGCAAAATGTAATAATGAAGAATATATGTAAATGAATTGAAAAATATTTTTTAAAAAATATACACACACAAAAATAATAGACATTGGAAAAATATATATAAATTAGGAAATAATATTAGGAGCATAAAAATGGAGAAAATGAAAAGATATGTAAATGAACTGAAAAATATTAGAAAAATATATATGCACACAAAGTAACAAACGCTAAAAAAATACATATAAAGTAAAAAAATAATATTACACTGACCTTGTAATGATTTTCACAGATCATCAAACTTACAAAATATAACAATCGAGAAGATGAGTTATTTTGAGAAAAGATAGGTAGATGAGAGAATGATTGAATGTAATAATGGAGAAGATGAAAAGATGTGTAGATAAACTGAAAAATATTGGCAATATATATACACATACATACAAAAAGTAATAAACACTGAAAATGCATATAAAGTAAGAAATAATATTAGGAGCACGAAAATAGAGAAGATGAAAAGATGTGTAGATAAACTGAAAAATATTGGTGAGTTATTTTGAGAAAAGATAGGTAGATGAGAGAATGATTGAATGTAATAATGGAGAAGATGAAAAAATGTGTAGATAAACTGAAAAATATTGGCAATATATATGCACATACATACAAAAAGTAATAAACACTGAAAATGCATATAAAGTAAGAAATAATATTAGGAGCACGAAAATAGAGAAGATGAAAAGATGTGTAGATAAATTGAAAAATATTGAGAAAAAGAAATATATACACACAAAGTAACAAATACTAAAAAAATACATATAAAATAAGAAATAATATTACACTAACTTTGTAATGATTTTTCCAGATCATCAAACTTGCAAAATATAACAATGGAGAAGATGAGTTATTCTGAGAAATAAAAGACGGGTAGATAAAAGAATGATTGAATTTCATTGAAATAAACTGAATAAAGAAACGCGTGTGTGGAAGTTGTAGGAGTTGTGGGTTTCTTTTTCTTTTTTTTTTTTTTAAAATTGAGATTGAGAATGAGATAAATATTATTGTGGATGATGGATATGGATGAATATTTTATTATTTTGGGATAAATATTATTGTTGGTGATGGATATGGACGAATATTTTAGTATTTTATATTTTATATAGGGAGAGAGAGTGAGAAGGCTTGAAGGGTGGGAAGGAAGATGAAAGAAAGTGTCACGTAATATTTTTTTTTCTTCAAAATTATGAGAATTTAGGATTCAAATTTGGAGTTTTCTTAAGTGTGCAAGTGCACACCATGTGCCACTTACACAAAAAGTGTAAGTATAAGGTGTAAGTATAAGTATAAGGTGTAAGTGTAAGGTGTAAGTGTAAGGTGTAAGGTGTAAGTGGGTTGCACATGGTGTGCAACCTCAAAAAATGTGTAAGTGTAAGGTTTAATTTTTTACAAAAGGTGTAAGCGTAAGGTGTAAGTGTAACGTATAAGGTGTAAGGTGTAAGTTGCACACCATAACCAAACCCTTCAAATTTTAGAGCCTTTTAACTTAATAACTACATTTGGTTATATATATATATATATATATATACTAGCAGCAACCTGTGCTATGCACGAAAATGTATAATTTAAATAATTTATTATACTCATTTTTGTATTATAAAATAAAAAAAATCTTATAAATTTAAAATATAATAGGAAGTAATAACGAATAAATATTTTGAATATGATAACTATCTAATACCAAAATTCATACATTCATTTTTTTCATAAATTTGTCATTTGAAACATTGATTATAAAATTATCTTACTCCAAATAGGTCATTTAGCAGCATGAACTATATTTCTATCGGACATTATTTTAGCTTTAAAAACGAATAATGTAAAAATGGGTACTATTACAAATAATATAAAAATGTAAAAATGAATTCTACTAAAAATAATGTAAAAATGTTCAATGGCCCCTTTAAAGATAACAACAACAAAAATGCCTTCACTACATATACATATAGGTATACAAAGAGAATAAAATTCATGAAAAACTTAAAATCCTACAACTGTCTAACCAATTGTAACATTGTTGATGGTTGAATGGAACTCGAATCATAAACACAGAGTTTGAACAAAACTTTATACCCAATATGCAAACATGGCATGTTAAAATATATAGCTGAAGTGTAAATCATTTGAAAAATAAGATAGAAATGAATTTGAAGATAATTATTAGATTAGAGATTGAAATAAATTTTAAAAAGGGATCATACGAAAAATATAATAAAAATAAAGTTGGAGATGATGATAGGATTGGGGATAAAAAAGAAAAAAAAATTAAAAAGGAAGAAATAAGAAATAAAGAAAATTGAAATTACTGGAGAAGATTAAACAAAATAAAAAATCAATAAAAAGAGATAAGGAGTCTTAGATAATAAAAAGATTTTAAAAGTTAAAATTTTAAAATAAAAACAATAGTAAGAGAAAAAAATATTTTTTATTGGAGAAAAATAAGGATGAAAAATTAAAAACATTACTCTGAGAAAGCAACATGTAAGAAATAGAATCTTAACTCTGCTA